TTTACTTACTTATTATGTTTACTGTCCTGCACCTGCCACCTCCCTGGAATATAAGCTTTGTAGGGACAAAGACATTTCTTGTTAGTTCACTCGTGGATCCTAAACTCCTAGAGCACTGTCTGGCACATACTGACTAAGTTAATAGCCATAAAATATAATATCCTAAGAGCTGGCTCATTGAGTTAAAGAGACTGATGAATTTGCAAAGTCAGGATCCCAACATAAGCCCATGTTCTTCCCGCCACATTCTATCTTCCCAATGCCAAACTTGTATCCACCCATCACTTTGTTTCAACAGATGCACTGCTAAGCAGTCAACTCATGTCAAATAGTTGTTACAAGGTCATCACACAACTGGCATTTGATGAGTACATTTACTAGGTCAGAGTGGGAGACAAATGATAAGGATTAGCAAGCACAGTTCATAAGTTTCCAGGAGTAGGCTTGGATCACTTAGCTGAGTGTCCTTAAATAATATGTCCTCTGTGTTGGCCCTGTGACTAAATTGGACTCCGTTAGGTCCCTGCACAATCCAGTGACACGAGGAGATGCCATTTCCCCAACACCATAATTTCCAAAGCTTCAACACTCCTTTGCTAAGTTGCACCTTGTCAGATGTTCCTGACCTGGTTTTCTTTCGGTACAAGGAGAGACTGAGAGAAAAACTCCACTCACCAGAATGAAGACAGTAAAGAAGATGACGACAATTGCAGCTGTAATGAAGAGCTTCTTCCGGGGAAACACAGCAGCAGGAAGGAGAAACACCAGCGCAAAGCAGATGGCACCTCGGAGGCCTCCGTAGGCGATGATGAACTGATCCTTAAAGGTGAGGGGGATCGTCCGGAACCAGTTAATGGCCTGAGTCAAGACAAAGACACCTGAGAGGGAAAAGCGAACCGAAGAAAACAGACTCTGTGAGGCCAGAATGTGTAAATGCAAAGATGTGTTTTCTGTGCTTCTGTAACAGGGAAAGGGTTTAAGAATAGACCCCACAGACTCCTTCTCCCTTTTCTTCTGTGTGCTCATACTACTGGCCTCTTGGGTCTTTGTTGTTCCAGGATTATAGGGGGAAATGTGGAATCAGAGAAGCCAAGGGAGGTTTATTAGACTTATAGCAAAGGCATAAAGATGCTCGGGGAGGAAAAGAATATATCAAAAAATGAAAGAGGAGGAGGCAGGAGAAACAAAGACCAAGAAGATGAAGCAGGAGTAGCAGCAAAGAGAAGGGACAAGAAGCAGCAAGCCCCATTCTTTTATTGAGTGTCGCTGAATGTTCACTTGGGGGAAACGTGCTCATTACCGAGTGCTCGCCAGATCAGGCAGAAGGCCAGTGTGAAGCAGACGAAGGCCCAGTTCCACTCGTGGTTCTTCCCAACGGTGGACACGCCCATGAAGATGAAGATCAGGGTCTCGCTGACACTGCTCAGCATCTTCATGAAATACTTGATGGTTGTGTAGGATTTTTGAGATACGTTTTCTTCCACATACTTATTCATAGTCATCGCACAAGCAGTGATTCTGCAAGAAAAGATACAACTACTGTTTAAACATGACAATGGTCCTAATCAGAATATGAGAGTCAGCACTTAGGAACTAAATTGTGGCTCTACCCTTCTGCCTATGACCACAACGTAGCGAACGATTTTTATAAGCGAATGTGATTTGCATCCTTGCAAACCTTGCTATCTCTGGAGGTTTTCAACAATATCCATGGTTTGAACTACTAGGCTCTGTCCAGCTTTGTCCCCACAGCTCTCCTTATTCCACATCCACATTCTCAAAGGTCTGTGGACATTGGCACCATCAGCTATTGTGTCACTATCACAAATAAAGCAAGTCTATAAGAAATTCAAAACCCATGATCTTCCTATAAAATAAGTCCCATCTTTTCTATTCCTTTGGTGCCTAACATGCTAAACTATTGCCTAAAATCCAAAACTTGAAACTAAGGTTACATTGGACTTCTCTCCCTGCCACATGTCCTCAGTGCCTCCCACCGTCTAATTGGTCACCAATTGTTTTCTATCCTTCATCCTGAGTATCTCTTGGACCCACTCTCTCTTTTTTTATCCCGATGCTTTAGTTCCAGGTCTCATTTCCACTTATCTACTGTATCTACTTCCAGGAAATTTAAAATATAGTAACAGGCTCCTAGAATTCCTAAATGAAAAAAAATGCTTTTTGCTTGTTTCCCCAGCACTTCCAAAACTCGAGGACCTCACGATGTCGATTTTAACAGCACCTTTGCACACTCTCTGAGATCAGCTCCTAAGGCCTGAAGCTCTTCATACAGTTCCCTCAGTGGCCGATCTCAATTTCACCCCAAACTCCACCCAGCACACACCATATGCTTCGCCTGTCCGTAATTTCCCAAGCGTGCCTGCTCTTTGCTGTCATCTTGCCTCACGCATACACTCCTGTAGGTCTGGAATGCAACAACCAACTGACCAACTCAAATGCCACCCACAGAAGAAACTTAGAATAAGCTGGCTGATAGCTCATACTAGATTCCATCTAAAGAGACATAGTTACTATAAAGTGGGAAAAGGAGTTCATTATCAGAGGGTATCAAAGAATGAAACAAGGTAGATTTGAGTGAGCTACCCGCTTCCACTGAGTGATCACCATTCCATAAACCAATTGCTGGTCACAATCTGCGAAGTTCTCCACATTCTCGCAACTTTAGAGTTACAAGATCCCACACACACCCTCACCCCCAAGCACTGCACTGCACGTAGTCTTCCTGATGCTGAGAAGATTTCTCACATTTTAGGAAATACAAATCCCAAGGGCAATCTGAGTTAAGACCTAAACAGGTAACCACGAACTTATTTCATTGAACGGAATAGACCTTTTCTGTACATACAAAACATGTGTGTTTATTTTTGTGCCCCATATTAAAATAAAACAAAAGTCTCACCAAGGCAAGGACCTTATGCATTTAGCCACAATGTCACTGCCCCCAGAATGAGCAAGTATTTCTTCCAGATTTATATGTGTTAGGAATGCATAATTCACGCTGTTCCCAAAAGAAAGAGTGCCTTATTAAATGGGTTAATAAAATGTGGCAGCCATCAACACAGCAAAGCCTTTAAATAGCTCAGGGCTTATATGTCAATGTTTCTAACACCTCTACTCCTTGCCAGGTACTGTGCAAATACTTTCATGAATTATGTCAGTTAAACCTCACAACAAGCCTCCGAGGCAAGTTCTATTATCATTCTCATTTTACAGATGAGAGAACAAAGGCAGACAGAAGTCCACTTACTCAAGATTACACTGCTAATAAATGGCGGTGCCAGGATTTTAACATGAGAAGTCCAACTCAAAACCAACACTGTTGAGAAGTTAACACTCGCTCTTTCCAAGCTCTCCATGAGCCAGTTACCTCTGATGTGAGCAGGGTCTTCTTACCCTGCCAGGCCTTGTCTTTCCTTTCTCAAGCACAAGCCTGTTTGGATTTGATTCCCGTGGCTGCTATAAGAAATCACTAAGGACCTAGTGACGTGCGACAACACAAATTTATCACCTGACATTTGCAGAGCTCAGAAGTCCAAAATCACTTGCACTGGGCTAAAATCCAGGTACCAACAGGGCTGTGTTCCTTCTGGAGACTAGGGGAGAACCCGTTCCTTGCTTTTCTAGCTCCTGGAGGCTGCTCACATTCCTTGTCTCGCGGTAGCATCACTCTGACCCTCTGCCTTCCTTTCATCAGGATCCTTGTGGTGACGTCAAGCCCACCGGATACTCCAGTATCACCTCCCCATCTCAAGATCTTAACTAAATCACATCAATGAAGTCTCTTTTGCTCTGTAAGGTAACACAGTTACAGGTTCCAGGGATGAGAATCTTTGGGGGTCATATTTAGCTGACCACACTATTGCTGGCATTCACCTCCCTTGTGGAGATGGCAACAAGCAAGTGCTTGTCCCAAGATGACCGTGGCAAGAGCTGCTCACATGTGCTTGGTGACAGAAGCTAGCAGGAGCTGTCATACTGACTTGACAAGAAAAACTGGAACCTCCACCAGCCGTCGATAGAGACTGAGAGAATAGGAGAAAGTGGCATCTCTCTACATGAGCCTTCAGGGGGTGTCATGCCAACACCCGCCTGAATATAAATCATTGGTCAACTATATTTCTGAACATCTTCATCTGTCATATTTTGGGTTAATGTCTCTTTAACCAAAGTAATGGGGGTATAAGCCAGATTAAATTCAGAATCTGAATCATAATATGTTTTATAAAGAAATGACATACACAGCAACACAAACTAATGAACCTTTCTGAAATGCTGCCAAGTTAAAAGTTTATAACAAAAACCATTTATAATGGCCATATTACTTTCAGAAATTCTCTAATCCTATGCAAAAGATGCTTCAAAACAATTTTATTATAAAGCATTTAAGATTAGAGGCAAAAATGAATAATAATAAACACCAAAATACCCACTACCCTGCTTTTTCTAACCACTTATTTTTTAAAAAAAAACATCAACTATAGAATTGAAACCCCTACATTTCTCATATCAGCCCTATTCCCCTCTCCCCCTCTTTGCTTTAGATTGATTTTGTTTGTTTATCCTTCAAAAAGTGGTTTTTAAAAAGCTGGAGTATTTTGTTTTTGTGAATATGCTAAACACTGCCTTTCAAAGAATGTTCATGTCAGTCACTGGGCAAAATATGGACAAACAGACAAAAATTAATCTTCTGTTCATTACGTGAACAACTGAACAAAAAATTCTCTTATGAAGTGATTGAGAAATATAGCTTTGGTGTAGGAATAAAAAAAAAATGAATTTTACATGAGTGTCCACGGGATCAATTTCCATTGCTCTGTGTCCTTAACATGACACCAGGAGTGATGCTCATGTCTGCCAGACACCTCGCTGTAATTTAATTCTGTTTCCTTCCAGCACAGATGAGATACTGGAGGGAGACGAATGCCCTCAGTGGGTTCCAGAGGCTTTGGCACCTGGTCGCTCCCTGACCAGGAAGCACGGGCACGTCTATGGCATTGATGCATCATGTGGGCTGGGGACAGATGTTCCAAACGTCCCAGTTCTGGTCTGTCACAGCTTTCTGCATGTGACTTCTTGAGCAAAGGCCAGGAAAGGTTTTCATTTCAGAGCTTTTTTGCCATAGTATCTTCTGACCTGAAGTTAAACCACCTTACTTCGATAACATCATAAGTACATAAAACTGCGAATGAGCTAGTTTCCCTCCAGTTAGGGAGGCAAACACAAAATAGCCTCCCAAGAATAGAGAAAAATAAAACTTTCTCTGTCTCCTTCATAGATCACCTATAGCTGATAGTCTTAACTATCACCATAAATCTGAGTCTTCTTCATTTTTCTAAAAGAAGCACAAGGAACTTATAGTGCTGGGGCATGGTGCAGGCTACTGACTGGGTTTGGAGTATGTGGACAGGAGTGTCTTGGGTACAAGGTCATGTCCCAGCATATCACAGTAGCACTGCACATTACAGAGAGGTGAGATTTCTTTCTCCATCCTTATGTAAACACATGAGATTTCATACCTACTATCCATAGCCTCTCACCCCGACTCTGAGCATCAGCACAATGGTGCCCACACCAGAATAATAACCTAAACAGACTTGTTACATTTTAGAAAATTCTAGTTGAATTTCTTAACTCTATAGATCCTTCAAACATAAAAATATTGACCTTTACCATTCCCAATATGATCCTACTTTAATTAGCTCGTGTCATTGAATCACCTTTTCTGCCCACCCCCTTTCTATGCATGTCTCTCTTTCCTAATCTCCATATTTAGTTAATATGATTGTGAATAACAATTCGATATCAACCCACAATTTCTTAGCTTCTACTTTGGGTCAAGTTCTATGTTGGGGTCTAGAAAAATTAAAGCAAATAAGACTCAGCTTCTACGTTTGTGAGCTCACAGTCTAAGGGCAAAAGGAGTCATGAAGAGATCATTGTAATACCACAAGCACTAGAAACAGAGAGTGGCGACAATGCTTTGAGGTGCAGGCAAGGAAATCACTACTTTCCACAAAAGAGGAGGCATTTAAGCAAAGTCTTTGTGGATAAGTGAAGAACTCACCAAGCAGAAAGAAGAAGAGAGATGTAAGCCAAGGAACAGCAGAGGCCATGTGCAAAGATACAAAACAAACAGGGTGGCACGGTTAGGGAACTGTGGGATGACTGTGTTAGCTACAGGAGAGGAGGTGAGGATAAAGGACATTTATGGGCCAGATAATGACAAATGACACCATTATATGTAATGCTTAGGAGTTTAAACGTTATTCTTTCTAGAATGGAGGAAAAAAATGATAGGTTATATATATGAGCATATACTTAATATCTATTTCCTCAACCCAATGGAAGCTTCATAAAGGAAAAACAAGTGTTGCTGAGGCTTAGCATAGTATTTGGCATGTCACTGATGTGTTTTGAAGCAATGGCTATGTGGACATGTGGATGAACTGTTTATAGGAATGGTGGTGCGTATGAACATATCTGTATTGAGGAAAGAG